TCAAATGGATGTTTCTATCTCTCCCTCCTCTCTCTCTAAAAAAATTTATAAAAACATGTATTTTTTAAATTGTACATCTGAGCCAAGTTGGTGTGGCTCAGGGGTTGAGCGTCAACCCATACACCAAGAGGTTACCGGTTCAACTGCTGGTCAGGGCACATGCCCAGGTTGTGGACCCAATCCCCAGTGGGGGCATGCAGAAGGCAGCCAATCGATATTCTTTCTCATCGATGTTTCTATCTCTCCCTCTCTTTTCCTCTCCCTCTAAAAATCAATAAAGAAAAAAAATTTTAATAAGTAAAAATAATAAAATTGTACACCTGAAACTTATATATGTTACTAACCAATGTCACCCCAATAAATTTACTTGTTTTAAAAACTCAATAAATTTATTTACATATGTGTGGCTTTAATTTTTCATATGGTTTAACGTTAACAAGGGAAAATTGATGGGTATATTATCCTACAGATATCAAGGAGGAAGGCATATCTTCTCTGCCTAGCACAAATATAGCATCATAATTTTGAATGGTTGCAAGTCAACCTTAGGACTCCATGCTTATCAAAGACCACACTACCCTAATACCAAAGAGACAACACAAACTAGCCAAAAGACAAACCTAATCCCTCAAAAATAGACACTACCATATTCATGTCCACTGCACGCTTAAACCATCCTAAGGGCATCTCTCATGAAATCAAGAGCCCTTGGAACTTACTTTAACCTTAAGAAAATTAACCTGCCCTGGCCGGTTTAGCTAAGTGGTTAGAGTGTCGGCCCGTAGGCCAAAGAGTCTTGGGTTCAATTCCGGTCAAGGGCTTGTACCTTGGTTGCAGTTCGGTCTCCAGGGTTGTGCGGGAGGCAGCCAGTCGATGTGTCTCTCTCACATCAATGTTTTTCTTTCTCTCTTTCTCTCTCTCTCTCCCCCTCCCTCCCTCCCTAACAGAAGAGAAATGGAAAAATATCGAGTGAGGATTTAAATAAATAAATAAATAAATAAATAAATAAATAAATAAATAAATAAATAAATAAAAATAAAAAAAGAAAATTAACCTGAAGTTAAATGTTAGTTCACATACTCTATAATTAGTGCAAAGATATATTTATTTGGTTCTATTTGTTGAAAGCATCCTTCACTCATTAGCCTCTAGGCATATACACATCAAAGGGAAGACACTCAATATATGTTACACTGGGAGAAATTACAAGGTGGAAACATTGCTAGGCAAGAAAACATTCCATCTGTAGTAAAATTTAGAGCCAGAGGGCTTGTTCTTACTCCAGTACCAAGCCCTGCAATATGACTCTTTCCCAAACCAGTCAGAATCAAGTCAGTTTTAAAGGGGAAAAGGACAAACTAAACCACAGTGAATTTAGTTTAACTATTACAAGATTTTAAAATACAAAGAAATTGATGCTATTCCTTTTGTCCAAGCTTGTATTTTTTCCCTTAAATCTCAAAGTTACTCTCTTTCACACCTCTAACAGTTGCCCATACAACTGCAATAAACAAAAATTGGAATAAAATTATTGTGCACAGGAGGAAAGCATCTAAAATAGGCAAAAGTCTTGGTTAAAAAGCAATTATCAAGGTCCATACAATCCACCAATGACTTCATACAAAGTACATCTACATAATAATAATCTACCTATGCCTAACCCTGACCCCACTTGGCACTTAATCAACTTAGAAAACTTTCCTGAGACAAGGAAGGTTAACTTAAGGTACTTGTGAGAGGCAGAGAAAAAAGCTCTAATGAACGTTGCCTAAAGAATGCTTTAGGAAAATTAGCATCAACCTAACCAAGATCAAAACAAGTAGCAGACACAGATATCGCTCAAGAATGTCTGTTTGTTCACTGATTCCTCCTCTCACCTGAAAACCTAAAGAAAAGATGCAGATTTTGGAAAAACTGAAGGAAAGAAACTGTATATAGCTGACCCCTGAAGGTGGTAGTTAGAGAAACCAACCTCTGAGCAGTTGAAAATCCAAACATAACTTTCTGACTCCCCAAAAATCCTTGGGGGATTGGTTCCAGGAACCCCCTTCAGATATTAAAATCTGAACACGGTCAAATTCCCTATATAAAATGGTGTAGCCCTGGCCAGTTTGGCTCAGCGGTTAGAGCGTCGGCCTGCGGTCCTGAGAGACCCGGGTTCAGTTCCCGCTAAGGGCACGTACTTCGGTTGCAGTTTGTCCCCGGCCCTGGTTGGTCGTGTGGGTGGCAGCCACTCGATGTGTCCCTTCACATCGATGTTTCTCTCTCTCTCTCCCTTCCTCTCTCTCCCTCCCAATCTATCTGTACAAAAAACTGGAAAAATATCCTCGGGTGAGGATTAAAAAAAATAAAAATAAAAATAAATAAAATAAAATGGTGTAGATCAGCGCATGCAGTTGGTCCTCCACATCTGTGGATCCCAACCTTAGAATGAAAACAGTACAGGTATTTATTGCATATAAATAGACCCATGCAGTTCAAATCCATGATGTCAAGGTCAACAGTAGTTGAGGTTTCAGAGAATTTAACAACTAGCTCAGTTCTGTGTTGTAACTATCACTATTTCCACTACAGTAGCAGAGAAGCTTCAAAGAATTTGGAAATCAAAACACAGTTGGGAAGGTGAGAAACCAATGTCAGGAAGATGTCTGATCATCACAACCTTCCAGGGAAAGGTTCTCTAAGCAAAGAGTGTTCTTTTGACATGCCCAATAAAACAGACAAACTTCTCTACTCACCACCAAGAATGTGCCAAAATACAATGTTTTTTCCCTAGGAAGAGGAAGAGACCTACACTAGAACTTGGGTCAGGGGAAAGCCCTGTCCTAAGGGATCATCTGAGGTCTCCTTTACAGTATCTAGTTTATATGTGGACTGTGCTGCAAAATCCACAATAAAGGCAAGAAGACAGCAACTGTTAGTTGGTATATAAAATGGTCAATCATGGTAGCTGTAGTCTGCCACAAAATTGTTTTAGTTTAGTTCCTTTAGCTCCAGTAAAGAGTAAATGATTTAGAACTTTATGATTTTATAATTTTAAATAACTATTTTAGTTTTAAATTCAAAAATAAACAAACAGCTGGATCCAAAGTAACTTACAAAGTGAAAGAAAAATAATTCCAAAAGCTTCTATCAAAGGAAACATCAGGCACAGACTTTGAGTTATTTAGAAAGAAAAAAATTAGGTACCCCACTACAAAGCAAAAGGTCACTATTGCAGTTTCTATCTGAATGCCCTTACTCCCAAAAGATTAAGCATATTTGGCCAGGGGATACCAGAAAATAGTATGTAGGACATTAACAGAAAAGAAAGCATCTATTTATAGGAAGAACAGAGGAAAGTTACAGTAATAGCTCCAAACACTTGCTTTGGTGAGCTACTCTTTCTTGAGGTGGAAGGTAAGAGGAAATAGAATGAGTGAATACCAAAGAGTAAAAACATCAAGAATAAGGGCAGGGGGCATAAGATGAATGAGAAAGGATGGGCTCCTCTATATGCCATACCTCCAAGATCTTATCCTCTTTGAAACCTTAAGCAAATCTACTGTTTTACTAGAGGAAAGCCTGAAAATTGTGGAAATTATAATTAAAATACCACTTATAAAAAATGAGGACGACTTCATGACAGCAAATCCAGCACTGAGGGAGACAGCAGAAGGGTAAAAAACATATACAAGACAGATTCAGTAAGAAGGAGAGAGATAAAGCATTGAAGACTACTGAGTAGAACGAAGATAAGGAGAACATACACCACCTACCAGTCAACCAGCAATCACTGTGTAAATTTTAATACAACATACAAAAAACACACAAATGTACCTCCTGGATTGGAGGCGTAGAGGAGGTCTGCACAGAAATCAGAGAGAGGCAGCATCCTGCCCTAGCATTAAGGGATGCAATGGGCAAGTAAGGATGAAGGGGTATAAAGGGAGAGGGACTGCAGCAAGGAAGAGGATGGGTTGCAGCAGCAGAAGGGGCCTAAAAAAGAGCAGGAAGGGAAACCTAGGGACGAGAAAGATCAGGATTAAATCAAGGGTGGAATCAAAAGAGGGCAGAGTAGGAAAGTGAATAGAAATAGTATGCCCTGAAAAAGCGGGGAGATCAAAGGCCCACAAGGGGATTATAATTGTAGACTAAAACAGAAGTATGAATACGGTACAGGAGTGACCACAGGGGGACAGAATGGGGTGCTGTCAGAGGGATGTGGTGATGGAGACACTAGATTCAACCTCATGGTGCAATGTTTAGAGAACATTGCACCATGTTTAGAGAGACTACAGTGTCTAAGACACCACCACCACCACCAAAAACAAACCAAGAAAATGCATGCAAGGGTTAGAAAAGAAGGTATACTAGAAAGATGAATACAAAAAAGGGAGGAAGGGGACACATGGAAGGACAGAATATACAGGGGCTGCTTAACCGTAAGGAGAGGGTAACTAAGGAAAGAAGTGCAGTGTGGAGGCATGTTTCCGGAGGAAAAGTAGATCAGGGGTCCCTACTTGGGCCAGAGGGCAGAAGGGACGGTCCACCGGGGCTGAAGCGAGTGTGGAGAACTATGTTGCTAAAGATGAGAACTTGGGGAGGACACACAGCGGTGGGATCAGAGAAAGAGACGTTGTCAGTGAGCAGCAAAAGAGATTCATTAAGAGCAAAGTGAGGGGCGGCGAGGAGGAGCAAGCAACATGCCCAAGGGGAAGGCAAAGGGGTAGAAAAGGAGCCAAAGGAATGGGGGCGGGGGTAACAGCGTTAGGGGCGCAGGAACAGAAACTGAAGACTGAAGAGAGCGCGGTGAGAGTCGCAGGAAACCGGGATGTGGGAGGTAAAAGAGTCAACCCCCAGGAGGTGCTAGGCCTGAGGGGGGCGGGGGCCCCCGAGGGCCGGTTCAGGGTTGGGGGTAGGTGCGGACGGAGGGTGACAGGAGTAGAGGGGAGATGCACAGACAGGCGGAAGGGGAAGGGATGGGGCGGGGTGGGGCGGCGGGCAGCCTGGATACTCACACCTCCAGAATGCGGTCCCCCTTGCGCACCCCGGCGCGATCGGCCGCCCCCCCGGGCAGCACGGCGCTCACATGCTGCAGCGGCGCGTACAGCTCCCCGTTGATGCTCCGCAGCTGCCCGCCCTCGCTCACTTGGCCCCGCACGTTGAAGCCGTAGCCGGACTCGGACTTGACGATGCGCACGACCCGCGGGCCACCGCCACCATTCCCAGCGCAGTGGAGCCCAGAACCCCCACCGCCGCCGCCTCCGTTCCTGTGAGGGGCCGAGGGGTGAATCCCTTCCCCGTCCTCGTCCGCCATCTTGCGAGCAAGCGAGCTGTATCCCCGCCCCCCTACGCCTCCACTCCCTCCCGCGTGCGCTGGCCCTGCTCAGCAGCCGCGACCCCCGGCGCGTGGGCCGAAGAGCTACGGGCTGGGGCAAAGGGAAGGCAGGGGGCGGGGGCGGGGGCGGAGGAGGAGGGACGGACGCTGTGCACTGTGGAGCCTCCTGGGAGATGTAGTTTATGGACCGTGGGGGCCGAGAGCGGGGTGCTGAGCCCAGGGGAGGCTGAGGTTATATGACGCACGGCGGGAGCAACGCCTGCTGGGAGTTGTAGTTTGCCTTTTATGCTCGTAGGCGTTTAATCTGTTGGATGGTGAATGTGTGGCCGACTGATTCAGCTGTTGGTGTTGGCACATTTTGTTTTTTTATTTTTTTAGGATAAATTAATGTTTGTGATTCAATACAGTCTTAAAGTATAACAACTCGTTTGCTCAATACTTCAGGTGTTCACATACATTATTTTATTCCATGACCCCAGCAACCTCTTGAGCCGACTGGATCATGAATTAGTTTCTGTATTTCACATATGAGGAAACTGAACCTTATGTGACCAAAGTCATCCAGCTATTAAGTAACAGGAACTAAAGCCCAGTTACATTTGTGCAACTTTTCATGTATTGCAACTATAAAAACTAGGCCTCAACTATACAAAAAAAAGGTATGTATAGAGGAAACTATGGCCTCAGTGACTTAAAACTGGATATTAGAGTGGCCAAGTAATTTCAATTAAGGAATGATTTTGAAGTTACCTTTATTTCTGATTCATTTTGTTTCCCCCAACAACACAGTAGAATTATTTGCAAATGGCAGCAATGAATGTATTTTGGCTCCCACCAGAACACAAACTTATATTGTGCAGAATGCCTGGGAAAAGCAAGTAAGAAGAACAAAAGTAAAAACAATATAAATATCTTAAGCATTTAATACTCAAGTCTGGTATTTGATTTTACCCTTTGGCAGGCTAATAAGTTAGTCTGTTACTGTTTCATGGATGTTGATAAAAAGATACAAGATTCTTGGCTCAGAGATAAAGGACTCATAATGCAGGAAGCAACATGAGCTTCAGCATGTTTGCATCAATTCCCCTTGACCCCCAAGCCTCATAGGCTCAGATTAATGCTTTGCCCTTGGTGAATTTACCTCACAGCTGAGGAACACAGAATGGGGGAGCTCACCATTTTATAGGAGGCGGTAAGTAAACCTGTCTTAGAGGAAGACATTACTTCATCCCTCAGAGTTATTCACTATAAATACAACTCTGAGAAATAACCCTAGTAAAGAGGAGCCTTGCATTCTTGGCATTCCCAGGAAGATAAGTAGAAGTATGAAAGAGGGACCATAGATAGATTTGTATCTCTGGAAGTATTCACAAGAAACTGATAACTTTGCCTCTGGGGAGGAGAACTGGACAACAGGAATGAGGACTGGTAGGAGAGAGACTTTTAACTGTATACCTTTTTGTAATTTCTGAATTTTTGGAAATATGAATGTGTTGCCTGTTCAAAAAATAAAATATAAAAATATTTAGAAAGGATCTGATTGAAAGAAAAGGTGATCAGAGCATCAACATCAAAAAATAAAATAAGACACCATGGTTGGTCTTGAGAACTCACAATCTAGTAAGAGAGTCAACAGAAAAAAGAACAATTATAACCCAGATCTTGGCGCTCCTGAGTAATGAGAGCTGTGACAGAGACCTGCATAAGTGGTGAAGAGTGCACAAGAAGAGGGGCCTTCAAAGTGAAACAGCTAGTGATCATAGATGAGAAGAGTTAGCAAGGCTGAGAAGGATAGTCGTGGAAAGGCATCTCTGACAAGGGGAACAGTATATTCACACAGAGATTTGGAAAAATGTGTAGTGTGAAAACTGTAAGCAAGCAGTTCAGTAGGACTGGAGCAGCATGCATAGGAGGAAGTGGGCAGGGGAGTGGACAGGGAAGGTGGGCAAGAATCAGATCTGGGAGGGCTTCAGATATTAAATATCATGCCTAGAAGTTTGAATTTCATCCCTAAGTATTTAGGCACCTCTGAATGCTTTTAAGCAGAGCAACAATATTACCAAAGTTGTGTTTCAGAAAATTCATTCTGCAGGAAGTTTAGAGAACAAAATGAGATAGGTCAGTTAAGAAGCAATTGCAGTAATTCAGGTGAAAATTAATGAGGTTCAAACTAGGGTAATGGTGATGGAAGGGGGATTTCCTGGAGAGAAAGGACTTAGCCACCACTTAGATCTCAGGCATGAGGGTGGGGAGGAAAGAATGTCATAAAAGTCCTGACTTGGTGGTGTGATTTCCCCACGACCAGGAAGAGAATGAGGAAGAGGTTTGCTGGGAAAATAATGAGTTCAGTTTTGGGTATGTTGGATTTGGGAGGCCTGCAGAAGATCCAAGAGGAAGAATTGATCAGCAATTTGTTGGATGCATGGAGGAAAGGTGTCTGGGCCAGAGCATAGATTTGAGAGCCATGGGCTCTGGGTGGTGGTGGATGAGAGTTCCAAGGCAGAGCATGTAGTGAGATGATAGGAGTGCCAAGGCCGGAATTCAGAGAATGCCCCCCTTAAGGAGACTTTAAGAGGAAGAGGATCGGGTGAAAGACAGAGGAGTCAGAGAGCTGGGAGACCCAGAGACAGTGGGGTCTTGGAAGGTGATAAAGCTGCTTTTGGAAATAGGACCTGGACAGTGTGCAGAGCACTTCCCATCCAGTAGCCTAGTCCCCACTATAACATGTAAATAGAAGCTTTCACAAGAAGCTAGGCTCAGATAACCAGCAGGCCCCAATCATATTGCCAGTTAATAGCAGAACTGAACCTCAAACCCAAGAACTGAACCTGACACCAAGGCCAGGACTCTCTCCACTACACAGCTTCCTTTTAGTTAAAGAAAAAAATGTTTCTCTTATCTTTTGCTATGTACAAAGTCGCAGGTTTCAATGAGCTTTTTGTGTAAAAATTATTTAGGTGAGAGTCCCACCTCTATACCTTCGCTTACATGTCCTTTGGTCCTAGGTGCCCTGCCTCTTTTTGTTCACTCTTTGCTGGTCTAAATTCTACTCATTCTTCAAACTCTGGTTTTAAACAGTGTTTCCATAAAGCCTTCCCTGCGGATTCCAGTTCACTCTGACATTTCTCTTTTCTAAATTTCTTCAGCAAATACTCCTTCCAGTGACATCTCCTACCCCCGAGGCAAGTCATGTGTAATTCCCTCCCCCTGAGTTTGGGCAAGTCCTGTGACTTGCTTCTAGACAATAGAATATGGCAAAAGAGAAGGGTGATGATGTGTCACTTACATGATTACAGTTACATTACGTTACAATCCTCCTTAGCAGACTGGAGCAAGAGAACCTCCTGCTGGCCTTGAAGAACAAAGCTGCCATGTCCTGAACTGCCCACAGAGAAGGCCCAGGGCAGGGAACTGCAGGAGCCTCTGGGAACTGAGAGTTGCCCTCAGCTGACAGCGAGAAAGTAGGACCCTCAGTCCTATACCTGTAAGAAATTCTGCCAAAAACTGCATGAACTTGGAGGAGGACACTGGACTCCACTAAGGAACACAGCCCAGCCAACACCTTGATTGCAGGATTGTGAGACCCTGTAGACAGCCAGCTAAACTGAGCCCAAACTCCTGACCACAGACACTGTGAGATAATGTGTGTTGTTTTAAGCTAATAAATTTGTGGCAGTTGGTTACATGGCAGTAGATAACAAATGTAACTCCTATTGCATTAATGGTCAGTGCCACTCAGTTCAGACCATAACAATTGAAAAGTTTTACTTTTCTAATCTGAACATAAGCTTCTCGAAAACAAGGAACTTGCCACATGTGACTTGTGCCCTCAGAGTGTACAAGAGGCACAAGAAAAGGAGCTCAACGAGTGTCATTAGAATGTTAGACCAGGGAAGGACCATAAAGTGGCTGATAACATCTGCTGCATAGGAACATGGTGGGGATCGAATGAGTAATATGTGGGAAACACCTAACATAATGCTTAGCATTTATTAATAATATTTACTAAATAAATATCACATCTAGCCCTATTCCCTCATTGTACTGATAAAGAAATAGCTCCCTCCATACCACCCTGCTAGAAAAGAAATAGAACCCAGTAAGGTGCAATGATTGTCAAAGGTGACTCAGCAGATCGGTTGCCAAGAATTTAACCCTAAGAACAATTAAATGGCTTAAGTGAGGCAATAAGGCATGCTGTGTGGACTCAGCGGTTGAAGAAAACAAAAAGGGGCCCTTTAGGCTCTTGCCCTAATTCTGATCCCTCTTTCTTCTTCACTACCTTTCTGCACTTCTTCCATGAAGACCACATGAAAAATTACTCTTTTAGTAAATTGAGTAACTGATTTGCAAGAGTGGACAGTACCTAGAGACTAGAGGATTTATTAGTCAAGACTCCTTTAGTTGCAGGTGACGGAAACTCAATGCAAACTAGCTTAGGCAAACAAGAGAATTCATTTGTATCTGCTTAGCGTGTAGGTATAATTATGTTAGTTCTCTATCTGCATTCTGTAGTTGTAGAATTTCAGAACCCTTTATCTGGTCATCTTCATATTATGCTCTTCTCTACCACTTGGCCACATACCACCTCTCTGAGATTGGCTGGGTTTCCCACTGGGGAGAAAGCGCCCTGGCTCTTATAACTACACTGGCTGGCTTTTTTCTGTCATTCCCCTTCACCACGCCTGACTGTCAAAGAGACATTCCCAACTGACATTTTTCACCATCTTTCCAGTTATGTGAGCTATGTCTCTCTTCATTTTCTCCATGCCCCCATTCTTTTCCTCAAAAATCAAACTCAGTTTTCCCAGGGTCCTTGTCCTAGAAATGAACTTCCAGAGCCAACAGTTGAGAAATAATGCAGTAGCTTTGGAGATCTCATAACAGAGTAATAGGGTCTCTGCATCGTTAGCATTATCCAGTGGGAAAAGGTGTGAGACTTGGGTTCTCTGCATTGGTTCCTGTTTAGCTTTGATTCT